GTTGTATGAGTATAAATAGTAGGAGTGTCTTGTAATGATTAACTTAATAGAAATAGAAAGTTTTCAGTTGAAATATCCTCTCTCTCTCTAAACTTTTTCGACAGTTTCTCTCACTACCTCCATGGCAAAGCTTATGTATTTTTAGCTATGTTGACATGGTATCTTCGCCGGTGTGGTTAACACCAGCGGTTGACGATCCTTCTTGCTTCCGCTCCTTTTGTTTGTTGCTTCGTAGTTCGTTGTCGGTGTTACATGTGTTACTTCTGATTTCAGTTGTCGTTGTTCAAAGTCGGTGCTCTGCAAAACCCTAGAATTTAGGGATTTTTCGTCGTCTTGAGTCGTTGTTCATCTTCATTGGTTGTAGATTTGATATTTCTTCTGCATAAAGATTGTATTGCTGTTAATTGTTGAAATCTTTTATTTTTCTCCTAAAACCCTAATTTTTGGGATTATTGTTGTGGGTTCTTGAATCTGTTTATGCCCTCTCTACTATGAACTTGTTGCACTTCTTGTGTTTGTTTATGGTGTCATTTGTTGATTCCATTGTGTTCTTGCGATTCAAGATTTGAGGTTTGTCAGTTATACAAACATGGTTACCACTGCACAATTGGCTCTTACACAATCCCCAATTTCTTCCTCGATTCCAAGTGTGAGTAACACTATTACGGTAAAACTTGATGATTCCAATTATGTTACTTGGAATTTCCAATTGGAACTGTTGTTTGATGTTAATGGAATTTGAGGCTTCCTTGATGGATCAATTCCTTGCCCAGTACGCTGTGATGTTTCTGATTCTAATCATGACATAGTGGAAAACGAACAAATTGTAACTGATGCATATAAAGTTTGGAAGATTCATGATAAGGCTTTAATGCCACTTATTACTGCCACTTTGTCTACGACTGCACTATCTTGTGTGATTAGTTATAAAAGCTCGAGAGAGATGTGGACTTGTCTCCATTAAAGATTTGCCAATATGACTAGGACTAGCATTGTGCAAATGAAGATTAATCTTCAAATTTTATGAAGGGCTCTGAGAACATTGATGCATATTTGCAACGAATCAAGGATGTTAAGGATCAATTGGCAGCAGTGGGTATATTCATATCTGATGAGGACATTGTTATTGTGGTATTGAGAGGTCTACCTCATGAGTCTAACATCATTAAAGCAGTGATTCGTGGTCGTGAGAATCTGGTATCTCTTAAGGAACTTCGATCATAACTGAGGGTTGATGAATCTGCATTAGATGAAATCACTAGATAGATTCCTTTATTGTCAGACATGCATGCCAAACTACTGGTTCTACACTTGATGTTGGTGGCTCTTCAGGTACAAAATCATATGTTTCTAGGTCTGAGAGTGGTCACTTCTCTGGCAACAACAATTTGTCCTTTCCTGCTACTTCTTTTTCACAACTGATTGCCTAAATGCCATTCATGCCTTAGTTTTCACAAATTCCATTCTTTTGACCTCAGGCTTTTGTTTCTTAACATGGCTCAGGGACTTACAATAATTTTAAGGGGAACAACTTCAAATCCAAAGGCAAAGGCAAGAAATTCTTTGCTGGAAATTAGTCACAATATAATAACCAACCTTTTTATGGTGCAACTGGGTTCTCACACACTACATTTCAGCCTCAAAGATCTTAAGTTTCTCATAATCCTCAACAAATATGTCAGATATGTGATCGAAAATGACATTCTGCACTTACCTGTTTTCAGAATAGTTGTCAAATTTGTCGTTGAGTGGAGCATACTGCAACTACATGTTTTGATAAAAACCAAGATACACGCCAACCATTCAATTCATCATAGTACCACTCTTATCCACAACATTATCTATCACAATACTAATCTTCAGTGCAATCTCAAGCTCCACACACTGGAATGACTAATGTTCCTTATAATTATGTTCCTACAATGAATTCTCAGTTCTTTCAGCATCCTGGAGGTTCCCAAAACAACTCTCACATTTCTATGATTGCTCGAGCTCAAGCATCACCTTCTGCACCACAACAGGAGTATTGGCTTCTTGACTATGAGGCAACCAATCATATGACCAGTGATCTATCTAATCTCCATATGGCTGCTCCTTATCCTGTTAATGACACTGTCATTGGAGCAAATGGTGAAGGTTTACAAATTGCTAATTATGGCAGTTCTCATCTTTCCACTAAGTCTCACATGTTTAAATTGAACTCTATTCTGCATGTCCCTCAATTGTCTAAACACTTGTTGCCTATTTATCAACTGTGTAAAGATAACAACTGTAAATGCATTGTTGATGAATTTTTTGTATGTGTACAGGACAAGGTCACCCAAAGAACATTAAGGACTGAGTAACAATGCAATTTACCCCATTTCTGTGTTCAAACCTTCAACTGGTCCTCCAACAGTATTTCTTGGGCAAAACATTAGTTCTACACTATGGCATTGTAGATTGGGACACCTTACCAATTCTATTGTACAAACAACTCTTAGTAGGTCATCCATTCCATTTCTTAGTACCACAAATCCTCAACCTTGTATTTATTGCTTAAAAGGCAAGTTCACAAAATTGTCATTTCCTGTACATGCTTCTAAGTCTTCAACTCCCTTTGAAGTGATACACACAGATGTATGGGGCCCTGCTCCTTAAATGTCTCTAGAAGGTTATATGTACTATGTATCATTCATAGATGAATGTACTAGGTATACATGGATATTCCCTGTTATAAATAAAGCTACTGTGTTGGACTCTTTGTTCAGTTTCAAGCCTATATTGTTACTTCCTTTGCTAAGACTATTAAAATTTTACAAAGTGATGGTGGTGGAGAGTATATTAGTTCTCATTTTCAATATTTTCTTAAGTCCAAAGGCATTGTTCACCAGATTTCGTGCCCATACACACCTGAGCAAAATGGCTTAGCTGAAAGAAAGAATAGGCATGTTATTGAAATAGCTATTACTCTTCTTCAACAAGCTTCCTTATCAACCTTTTTTATATCATGCTTGTGTTACTGCAACCTACCTTATTAATAGGATGCCCACACCTGTTCTTGGAATGAAATCACCATTTGAAGTGTTGTTTCACTCTCCACGTAGATTAGATCACTTAAAAGTTTTTGGATGTGCCTGTTATCCTTCTCTGAAACCTTATAGAACCAATAAGCTTGATCCTAAGACAACACCGTGTATTTTCGTGGGTTATGCTGCACAATACAAAGGATACATTTGTTTCGATGTTTCCAAAAACAAGTTGATAGTTTCCAAACATGTGTTGTTTAATGAAACACATTATCCTACATTGTCTCAACCATTTGACAAGCAATCTTCTTCCTTACAAACTTCTACCTCACCACCACACATTGTTCATTCCAATACCTTCCATCAGTCTCCCATTATCGTCATACCTTTACCATATGTTTTTCAACCAACTGTTGCATCACCTCAAGTTACTCAGTCTAGTTCTCTTTCACATGGTGATATTGTCTCATCTCATATTACTTCAGTTGTCCATGGTACTTCTAAGTCATCTCCTATATCAGAGTTACATCCAGACATCACCACATCTCAGGTTTCAGATCTACAACTTGTGAACATTAATTCTCAGAATTGTCATCCTATGCAAACCAATTTCAAGTCTGGTATTTCTAAGAAGAAACAGGTTTTCAGTGCTATAGTTCAGTCTTCCATTGGCACAAAACCAACCTCATTTACTACAGCTTATTGAGTAGAAACAGGCAATGAAAGAGGAAATGAATGTTTTACTTCAACAAAAAATTGGTCCCTTGTTACTCTACCTCAAAATAAAAACCTAGTGGGCTGCAAATAGATCTACAAGGTCAAGAGGCATCCATATGGTTCTATTGTTAGGCACAAGGCCCAGTTAGTGACCAAGGGTTTTTCTCAAAAAACAGGACTAGACTATTATGAGACCTTCAGCCCTATGGTTAAACCAACCACAATGAGATTGATGTTATCCTTGGCAGCTACTAAAGGTTGGAAATTGAAACAACTCGATGTCAAAAATGCTTTTTTATATGGTTTCCTTGAGGAGGAAATGTATATGTCTTAAGATCTAGGTTTTGTTGATGTTGATCATCTTGAGTATGTGTTCAAGTTACAAAAGTCCCTCTATAGACTAAAACAAGCTCCACGAGGTTGGAATGCCCGGTTTACCTCATTTTTTGTTTCTCTTGGATTTAAAGCTTCTTATGCAAATCCTTTTTTTTTTTAAAGCATGATGGTCTTCATATGGTTGTGTTATTGTTATATGTGGACGATATTATACTCATTGGGGATCATGATGCTAGTGTCCAATCTGTGGTTCAACACTTAACTAAGGAGTTTGATATGAAAGACTTAGGTCTTCATTATTTTCTAGGTCTACAAATTGAATATCATCCACAGGGGTTGTTTGTTCATCAGTCTAAGTATATACAATACTTGTTGCAGAAGATAGATATGGTTTAGTGCAAGCCTTGCATTACTCCATGTCATCCTAATAAAAATTAATAAATCGTGGCAGTTCTCTATATTCATATCCTACACATTACAGAAGCATTGTTGGGGCTCTACAATACCTAACATTCACAAGTCCTGACATTACATACTCAGTTAGTCAGGTTTGTTAGTTTATGCACACTCCATTAGAGTCTCATTTTGTTGTTGTTACAAGGATTTTGAGATATTTTAGAGGAACTATGGATTGGGGAGTCTGTTTTAGACCTGGAGATTTAGACATTTGAGCATACATAGATGCGGATTGGGGAGGTGATCCCAATGATCAACGCTTTACAACTGGTTTTGTGGTGTTTCTTGGTTCCAATCCTATCTCTTGGAGCTCTAAGAAACAACATACAATCAGTCGTTCTTCCACTGAAGCTGAATATCGACCTATGGCCACAACCACTGTTGAGATTGTCTGTCACGCCCCGAACCCGAGGTCGATAGTAAAAACTTGAACCCGAATCCGAAACGTGAGTTAAAAACTAAATAATTAAAGTAAAACTGAAATAATGGAGTGAAAAATAAAATTCCTCTTATAAAAAGAAATCCAGAATTCTTTACAAGACTAAAATAAATAAATACAAAATCCTATCCTCACACTTAATCCGATCTCATCCTGTCTACCCTCTTAAACTGTTTAGTTCGTAAACCTGCATAACAAGAGAGGGGTGAGCTTTACCAAAGCTCAGTAGGGACATAACCTTATCATAATAATTGACAATACTAAATTACGTGTTATAAAATCTTGTAATCAAGCACCAAATCATTATCAATAATAATGCATGAGTGCAATGCAATACTCTTCATCTCTACCCGTTAATTCATATAATAAAACACGCGGACCTGCACGTCCCATACCGTGCATTTACCTCTGCAATGGTAGTTAGAATGTTTTAATATACAAATTAACCCTTGTAACTCAATCATCACAATTTCCCCTTTTGTTAGTCATCTTGCCAAAACCCTTCGTTGCCAATCCCGAATTACCCTCAAAGAAAATGTGCACTGTGGGCTCGCCTGAGACTTGGTACCTACTAAGAGTTTGGCTCAACTACACAAAGGATATTTCCAACTACCCTCATTTCTAGAACTTCTTCCTCAATACCAAACTTCCAACTAATCTCACACATGAGTGATGCACAAATAATCTTATTTCATCATTCACATGTACCACAACATATTCTCAGCAAATAGCATTTCACCAATAATTCCATAACAAATAATAAGTAAACACCCAAGATAAACATTTATTCAATGAGCATCAAATCACATTAATCAAGCAATAAGATCGATAATGATAATATCACACTTCACGAAATTTAATAAAGCCAATCTCCATAAAGGTTTGCCGTATTTCCCCTACCTGGACTCCAAAGTATTTGTTCCAAGTGTCTATTACAAGAGTTCACCACCTTGATAAAATCCTATTCACAAGTATAAGCAAATCACTATATGCAAGACATAGACTCTAACTAATCAAAGTACTTGGGTTACTAATTTACTACCACTCAAATCAGATATCAAATTGGTTGACCTATAATACTATGCAAAATAGTTTTGTGTATAGTAAACATATTATGGAGACCAAAAGAAAGAATAAACTTAGATAGTCCTCTGCCTTCAAAACCTTATAATTTGTATAAAATAACCTTACATAAAACCATTTACCAACATGATTAATCATTTATAACCTAGACGATATATAGTGCAAAAAACTTAAGATTTAGTGTGGTTTTGTTCCAGTATATACTAATGTATATAAAAATAGCTATACATATACATCTACATATATTGATAGCGTAGCATATGTGTATATATAAACTTCATTCTATTCTCAATCAAATTAACATAATATTGTATAAATATAAAGTAGTTTTGGAAAAGGAAATTGAATTGGATTTGTCAAACTAGGGTTTATCATAGTTCTTTCATATTTTATAATAAGACAGCCAAATCAAAGATATATACAGATTTGAAGCCAAATTACATTAGATTTGATCAAGCGAAGAATTTGTATAAACTAACTTCGAATAGAAACTCCACGACAGATATAAACAAGGAAATTATATAATAGTTATGAAAAGATAAACAAGGTATAGAAATTGTTACCCACACAAAGAAAGCTACTGACTCCACAGTCCTCCCTCCCTCACTCAATCGATCGCTCTCTCACTCTCAACAGAAACCACAGAAAAACAACTCTCTCTCTCTCTATCCTGGTCTCTTTCTCTCGAATTATTTTTCCCTTCTTCCGTCTGTTTTCCTCTTTCAAATGAATGAAAAGCACTCCTATTTATAGGAGGTTAAGAGTCGGTTATAGCTATTCTCTTATTGGAAGGTGTAGCAGCAAGAGATAAGTTGAACCTATCTCCGTACTCCCATAATCTGCTACGGGTGTGTGTAAATAGGGAGGCGTTGCCAACAATAGCATTGACCTTGACCAGCCAATTATTTTAGACCAAAATAATTATAGAAGTAAAGCTATAATCAATAAATAAAATAAATATAAACAGGTAATTAGACAAGGTTAATATATAGTAAACAAATAAATAATTAAATAAATAATATATAGTTTACTTTCAATTTTCATTTGGTTTGAAACTTTAATTTCTATTTGGATTGTTAACTTCTATTTGTTTTGGTTCGTAACTTCTATTTGGATTGTAAGCTTAATTTTCATGATGAATCTTGATGCTTCATTTGAATTATTATGTGTATAAATTGTGAATGATGAATAATAGATTAATTTAATCTATAATGTATGAGATAAAGGTACAAAAAAAAAAATTGCCCTTGAATTGGGTTAAAAAAACAAAAACATATTTTGTCCCAAAACAAAATGGCAATTACCATTGCCATACCATGCCAACCAAACTTTTGGCAATACCGAACTTCGGTATACCGAAAGTTTGGTACGGTAATTGGTACAAGGGTTTTGATACGGTAACCGTACCGAACCCACCCCTAGATGAGATATGTGATGAGATATGAATATGTCTTATAAGTCACTAGAGGTGACTTCGACTTATATGCTAGCCATGATTGATGAGATATGTTATGAAATACCAATATGTCGTATAGGTCACTAGAGGTGATTCCGACTTGCATGCTAGTCATGATTGATAAGATATGAATATGTCGTATAGGTCAGTAAAGGTGACTCCGACTTAAATGCTAGCCTATATATGGTGAAATGCTAGCATATATATAATGAATATACGTGATAAGCTAACATATGTGGTGAATACGTGATAAGCTAGCAGACGTAATGAATATACGTGATGAGCTAGCATATGTGGTGAATACGTGATAAGCTAGCAGATGTAATGAATATGCGATAAGTTAGCATGTGATTATAAATATGTGAAGCATGACTTGAACTGATATATATATATGGATATTTTTATATTCTAATTCTGGAAATTTTACAAGCGTTGTAGTGAGGGATTATAGAAATTTATATGGTTTCTATTAAAATTTTATCTACTGGACCACTCACCTTTGTCTTTCTTCACCCTCCAGGTCTTCTTAGCTGAGCCTTCTTATCGTCGAGGAATCGTGACAATTCTTAGTATTGGAGATTATTTCGAGGGTACGATTCTTAATTCACTCTTCTGTACTTGCTTATGCTCTAACGTCACGTGTGAAGTTGGTTCATTCCCGCTCACCAATGCACTCTGGTATTTAGGCACTCTAGGTTTAAATTTATTCACAACATTTCCACATCATCACACTTTATGGCGTCGTCACCTTCCAGGTGTCGGCCACCACAGCTCGATTCAGAGTCCTAGTGGACCTTTCGGGTCGGGGTGTGTCACTCATTGTCAACCAAAATTTTATGAAATTACCAATTTAACCCTTTAATTAAAACATAACATAAATAAGAAATATGGGGCAGAAATGTAATTTTACACAACCAAATTTTGCTTTTTTTTAAGTCTCACCTACATTTAATTTTGACATATCTCTAATTAAAAATAAAAATAAATAAATAATAAAAATAAATTTCTCACTCTCACATTCTCTATCACTCTCTTCCTCTCTTCTTCTATTTCAAAAACAAAAATAAAAAATTTTCTCACACTTTGTATGTGCCCATATGCTAGTTAGCTACAAACAAAAGACTTACGCTTTACTTACTAATTACTTATGTAGATATTTTGACTTCGATGTTATACATGAAGTGATAAACAAACGCGCATGACTATACTCACTACAAAGCTTGTAATACTCTGAATTCTGTTTTTTTTTTTGGTTTTTGGAGTGAAATTCTAGATTAAAAAAAATGCTCTATGGAAAATCTTGGATACATTTGATATATTGACGTAGTGACATTACTACAATACACATAATTTATACCTCGTCTTGTAATTTAGTATTAAAATGACTCTTAGTAACTGAAACATATAATGAATTTATGATTGTGTTCTGTTTGTTCTTGTTTGGGTTTAGGGGTGAACAAGATCCGAATTTGAAAGGTTTTAACCTAAAATTATAAACTCTCCGTGAGTGAGAGCAGCATCAACACGAGATTTTCCTCTTGCCGCCAACCCTAATTCCGATTAGGGTCGGTGGTAGCCCTTCCTTCTTCCTCTGCTTCCTCTTCCTTCTGCTTCTAGTGTTTTTCTCTGCTTTCCTTCCTATTTTGCTTTCCCTTTTCACCCCGATTTTCACAAGTACATCTGCTGCCCTCAGATCAGATCTTCCATCCATCCATAGACATGTTCTTATTTTGGCTCCACCAACTCCATTTCCGTTCCGATCTGCAATCAATTTTGACTGCGAAGTGATGCAGTCTTCAACTGAGAAGGTGCGTAGAGATTCGGCGTTTTCACCGGCTTGGGTGGCAACAACACCTCCTTCTCTCTGTCTGCCATTTTTGGTTGTGCTGCCTGTGGCGATCCCACGGGATTCTTTGGTTTCTCTCAATCAGTGGTTGCGATCGGTGAGATGGTATCTATTGGAAGGTGAAATCCATCTTCTTTCCTTCTATGAGATGTGGGTTCCTAACGAAAGTTGGTGGTGTAGGCTCCTGACCATTGTGGTCGGTGCTTTTGGCAGTGCCGTTGAAGGAAGCAGTTAGGGTTAATTTCTGTTTTTTTTGTTTTTTTCGGTATTTGAGTTAGTAATACTATTGAGATCCCTTTTTTTGCTTGTGTGGTTATTGTATATGGAACTCAATTTATGTAATTAATTGTGTTGTGGTAATATAGTAACCTTTGACCAAAAAAAAAAAAATCAAACTGCAAAACTTAATAACTAATTTAGGGGGTGTATTCAATTGAGAATGTGAGAGATTTTAATGAATTTTTATGGAGTTTAATTGATTTGTAGAGATTCCATATAAAATTTTGATTCAATTCCCTCAAAATCTCATGTGAAGAGGTGAGATTTGTAGATAATTAAAATACATTACGAAATCTATCTAATTCCCTCTAATTCCTCAACTTTCTCAAATTCTTTAAAATCAATTTCTAATTGAATATACCTGGAATGTTATAAACTTCTTTAAAATCTTAATTGAATACACCTGGATTTCTAAGGATTTTAATAAACTATTTTAAAATTCTAATTGAATACAACTAGAATTTCAGATAATCACTTAAAATCCTGATTGAATGCCCCTAAATTCATTAAAAGAATTAAAATCTTTTAAAATCTCAATTGAATACACCCCCTTACTCAATTCACCACTCAAACATCTCCGTAGATTCATCCTCAGAAATATATTAAAGGTAAATTTGTTTATTAATGTCAAATCCAGTAATAAATGACTTCAGATTATTGATGATAAGATGGCCAAATTGGGCTCTTTAAAAGTATCTTGGAATTAGGGCTTCTAACGAAATTGGGATCATTTTTGCTCACCATCATAAACTATGGTGTATGCTCACCATACACCTAATCAATTGACAAGTGTCATTTCACTTAATCTTGGTTAATTTTTTTCAAAATTGAAAAACTAACATTTAATGTGAAAGTTAACTAGAGTTAGGTGAAAGAATACGTGTCAATTGATTAAATGTATGGTGAGCACACACCATAGTTTATGGTGGTGAGCAAAAATGTTCCCCTCGTTAGGCTCTCTTTGAGTTATAGGCTTTTATGGGTTTAGATGTTGTTGTTGTTTGGTTGAATTTGGGGCCTGTTTCACCCCATGGGTTTGGGCATACTTTTGCTGTATGAAATTGCTTACTTGAGCATAAAATTGATTATGAAAATGTCGCATATGAAAATTTCCTTACTAGTTTAAAGTTCAAATTTTCACCAAAAAAATTCAAATAAAAGAATGTGCTTGTTGGATTTCATTGTTGTATATACTATTTATCTTGTTTTGCTTACGTGAAGATTTTGAACGAAACTAGACTAAATTAAGCATAACCAAACCAAACATATTTAACATTGTAGTTTTCAAGTTTATGATGAATTAAATCAAACTTAACTGTTCCCGCTTCTAAACAAAAGAATAATTAGTGAAAAATGATCAAGTACTACATTCAAACACGAGTTTAATTTAACCAAACTAGCCAAAACGGATCTGTTATTCATATACACTCAAGTTCGAATACTCTTTATAATTTGAATTAGTTCAAAGTAAAGTAAAAAAAGTTAAGTATACTATATCTACCGTCTCATTAATCCAATGCCTAATTGTGATTATGTGGTCTGTAAGACATGAGAACATTTTTGTTGGCTTCCTTTCACGTAACTATCACCACTCAATGTCATAGTACCTTCCTTCCTCCTCTTCCTTCCTCTTTTCCAGATTGCCGTACTAAAACGTTTCCTAGGCACAGATCTTCCCGTAAATGCCCTCCAGCTTCCTCACTAATTCCACGTCCACCCCAACACCCGACCCTTCCGAGTCCACCTCCTCCGACGTCCAAACCGCCGCCGTCTCACCAAAAACGACACCGGCAGAGATGTGGAGCTACCTCTGGATTGCTTTCCTAATCTCCTTGTCCAAAGAGCTGAGCTTGGCCAAGGCCCAGGTGCCGGTTCTCTTGCAGAGTCAACTCGGAACATCGGACTCGTCCTCGTCCAAGTGTACGGCCCCCGACCCCAAGATCAACTACCGGCCGGTGATCGGTATCCTGAGCCACCCTGGCGACGGCGCTTCTGGCCGGCTGAGCAACGCCTCCACGGCGTCGTATATCGCAGCTTCTTACGTCAAGTTCGTTGAATCGGCTGGAGCTCGTGTTATTCCTCTCATCTACAACGAGCCTCCCGATATACTTTTCCAGGTGATCTCCATAACAAATCGAGCTTTTTATAGAAGTTGCTTCTGTGTTGCTTACGTAAAAGCTGCTTTTCAAAGAAGCACATCATGG